GAGGCAATAGTCTGTTCTTGAGCAAACACTGCATGCACGGCCACACGCAACGTGTCCTTCGTGTACGATGTTCATGGCGGCATTTCGTTGTCAATTCAAATCGAAAACCTCTTAAAGTGTATAAGTTTTCCCTCCATAATTTCTCACGAGGTCAATATTGTAAGAGGTTTTGTTTTGTCCAATACAATTCGAGAAACCATGTTATTGGATAAAAGTTTTTGGCGGATCACTGGTCAGTTGGCGGATCACTGATCGGTCACGTTATAATGAATAATTGATTTATTTCTGGAGGCACGTCTCGAAATTTATTTCTGACTTGGTGTCCAGCAAATAACATATTCGCTCAAACACTGTCGGAATAATAAGAATAATATATTTTTTATACATAACTAATTAACTCTAGATAAGAATATATTTTTCCCTACCTCTACATGGGACGACACAGCCTCAATGACGATTGTAGGCTTGCCATCCTTCCCTTGAAACTGACCAAGCTATGTAGTGGGGCAGTTTTTCGAAACAATGTGAGTACAATATAGGGACTCGAACACTCCAGAAACCCGCGCTCACTGTTGCGATCGTGGCCCGAAACCCCGAATACAGTTAACTGACGTATACTGTACGATACCTCCGATGTGGCCACGGTCAATGTTTCCACTCTTTCCAGTACGGAAGCCACCCCATGTGGGCTTTTCGGCATCATCGAGCACCAAAGCTACAGCCATGTCGTCATCGAAGTCCCAGTCGTCGACGCTGATGTGCATAACAAATAGTTTTGATTCTGCAAGTGTTGGTAATTACCTGATACGGTTATTATCACACAGGCCAAGTGCCCTGTGTTGGCGTTAACACTGCCCGGATAATATTGCTCTTATACGGTTCTATGGCTATGATTTGATGGGACTGAGGAGCTTGTGCTCTTCTCAACCCGATTGACACCCCAACGCACTGAGCCTCTGTTCATTGTATACTGCATTTCTTTCGTGTTTGTTTCCTTCATTGTGTGCACTCGTTTACCTGACATTTCAAGTACATGAATTCATCTGCACTGTCCCTGAAAGTCTCCTCGGACTTGTCTCTTCTTGTGTTCAATGGAAGGAGAGATACCTTCCGTGTGTGGTCCAGAAAGTTCATGAACTACCTCACAATTGAATTGACGGGTTTATGGATCGGAGAGTATGACAAACGCCATCAACCTGTGACGAAGTTCGGGGACTGGCTTGTGTCAGTGCCTGCTCTTCATCAATCCGAGATTGATGCTACTGAAAAGTACAAGCATTACTTGGACTGGTATCGCAAGCGACATAACTAGAAAGTTCAGTCGCTGTTCCCAGTTAGTATTATCCTACAACTACGTGATGGTAGCGATTCGAAAATGCCTGTGCTTGAAACTTGGAGTGAGGTGCAGAAGTATTATGGAGTTTAGAATGCTGCACCTGTAACTGCCCTTATGGGAAAATTCATCCGCACAGCTGATAAATCATTCGATACAATTGAGTCGTGGTTTGGAGAGTTGAAAACTGCCTAGTCAATTCTACGGTGCTCAAGTGAAATACTCACTAGACTCATTCAATGTGAATTCAATCGAACATATCCTTGTCGGAATCTTTGACCAGCGTTCGAAACGCTCGATATTAGCCATGGCTGGCCAATCTTCGGCGACGGATGTCGCTTGTAAAATTCTATTTCGATCAATAGAAATGAGAAGAAGCGTCCGACCAATCAGGGTCCTGTATTGAATAGAATGCGTCCGAAATTATCCGGACCTGCGGGACCAAGTAGGACTGACCCTCGGTCTGGAATGTGTTTTTACTGTGGTCAGCAGGGCCATTTTAGGGACAAATGCCCTAAAATGAGCCAAGACCTGTCGTACGGATACGACCGCAAAAACATCTCGAAACCTGAAAAGGTCGAGCCACGGGCGCCCAAGAACAACGGGCTCTCATCTGGTTACTGTTAATCCCCCGCAAGCTATATAATCCAATATAGTTTCTGTTTAAAACGTTCAAAACTACGACAACAACAAACAACACTATATGCGGATAATTTATCCAGATATTTTATCCGACTTGGCCATTTCAAAAATATTCAGTATATCGAACAAAATAGATTTACGAATGGTTCTTACCGATAGCACATACTAAGCCTTTGAAATACTTTATACCGTCAGGCCCAAGTGGGAAGTACCAACTTCGCCACAAATACTCGTCCAAGTACGAAGGGAGATGCGGTCGGTGCATTCCCCGCATGGCCTTCGCGAACTGCTTGATACGAATCTCCCAAGCGCCTTCGATCGATTGCGTGTGCGCTCCATTTTGTGGGTTCACAAAGTTCTCTGAATGATTGACCCAATCATGGCGGTAGTCTTGGTTGGCCAACAAGGGGTTGTTCACGAGCGTGTGACGTTCATTTGAAGAAACGTATGACCCAAACTTGTCCGATCTACGAGACACTTCCATGTAACGATATAGACGTATATAGACACCTCTATATAGCATCATATAGTGCCTTACACGATATGGCTCCCAGGTGCAATGTGCTTCGTGATCAAATGGGACAGAGTCGGCTTGGTTCGGTCCGCACCAGTGACAACCTGAACCATTTCTTCGTGCTCCGATCGACTCCACTAAAAATCCAGTACTCAGGGTAGTGTCGTCCACGGTTGTATTTACTCTTATTTTTCATGGAAGTCTCATCGATCTCAACGGTGATGCCGCGACCACCGACCTATCATAAACGAGTTGAAACGATATAGACCTATCTCGATATAGACGTATATACGTATAGACCTATATACGTATAGGTCTTTATAGTAACGACATAGGTGTATATATTGATGGACCTACCACCATAGGCGACCGCAGCATTTCACTGGAACAGAGCTCGCGACAATAGTTGTACCAATCCACACCGGCCTCGGTGGAGATTTCTTCTTCCACGATGACGACACCCAGCGGCTTTCTTGACGCCCACGCAAACAACAGACGTACCAATTTCGTCATAGGGATTCTAGATCCTTGGAACCAGAACTTGAATCGCATTCCAAGCTCGACATGACCACCGCCTTCGCATGCCCTACGGCGGCACCACCAGCGCTTGGTCTTCATTGCAAAACTCATAGCACCTAAACACTGGGGGATGACATGGACTCGGCTAACAGGCCGACTTCCATGCACCAGCGGATACACGTCTCTTCATCTGCAGACACCCTCAACACCACGTGCCACGAAAAGTCGGCCACGTCCGCCATGTCACACAACTCCACATCCGCCGGAACGTCGTCCATAGGGACTTGGTCCAGAGGGCGGGTGGTGGCGGGCGTCATCAACATGCTCCATTTTCTCGATTGATGTACGTAAAAGTGAAAATGAATTGGTTGCTGTAACAACATGTATCGACATCGTCAAGTCTATGCGGATATTCGCCGTTAACCGGACTCTATATAAACTATACACTGTATAGGTGAACTATATAGGATATATATATGATATAGGCTATATACAGTAGATACACTATATAGACTATATCGTGACACTATATGGGCTAAATAGTTGTATGATACGGTCTATGCAGTTACACTATATAGCCTATATCGTATAGTTCGAATAGGTACTTACAGCAATTCGTAATAGCCCTATGTGTATAATTTCCACAAAGCTATGGTACATCGATTTATCTGATCTTGTAAATATCATGGAATGCAAAAAAATCTGAAGTTTTAGATTTAGTTGCGACGGCGGCGGCGAGCACTACGGCAGACTTCATCAGTAAGAGACGCGACAGGCTCTACCGTGATTGGTTGCACTGGGACATCGACTAGGCACATCATATGGGTCAACGCCAACTTTGCATCATCAACAAAAGAGTCGCCTCCGCTACGCAGTCACGCCGACAAATACTATCGGCATACACGGCATCATCCTCGTTCGATGGAGCGTCCTCAACTGCCGGCGCATCGATCTTCACTCCAAATGTTTCGCGGCCGTTGCGGACCCACTCCAACTGATGGACAGACACAACATGTGTCTTGAACCCATCGTTGGAGTGCTTTCGAGTCTTGTCACATGCCACGCCGTCGTCGATCTTGCACAACCACTTTCGCATGTAATTGCTGCGCTGGCTCGACATTTTCGCAATTGTGACATGGTTGGCGAGGTTAATTTCGGATAAATTATCCGGATAACGTTACGTCCAGTCGATTGGGAGTACTTGATTGGCCGCCGTATATAGTGTTGTTTGTTGTTGTCGTAGTTTTGACCGTTTTAAACAGGAACTATATTGGATTATATAGCTTGCGGGGGATTAAACAGAGGAGAGCCGAACAACGTGCCCTGCGGCGCCATCCGTGCCGAAGTTCCCTTGCCACGGCAGCCAGAGGTGCCACTCCCAGGCAGCCCGAGCCCTGCGGAAGAATCCCTGGCCGACTACCTTGGCCATGGCCTCGACGACAACTTTGAGCCGAGTAGTCCGTACTACACGCCCTCCCATGAACGCATGGAAGGTGTGGCCGTTCTATGCAAACTATGTCCGTTGACATGGACGATATGGTAAGAAAGTCCTATCCAAAGCTACGAAGTCAACGCACATTGTCTAGGAATGATTGGGCTCAAATATGTGTTCAAGCAAAACTGACTTCAGTTTGTTGCGGTTGCTATTCATGGTGCATACTACGTGCGTGCATTCACTGTACTCGAGAGACAGATTCGCTGTCACAATGTCAAGACAGGCGTACTAGAAGTACCAGCAGTTAGCAACTACTCTGGCGACGAAACGGTTCAAAGAATGGCATGTCAGACTTGAGACCCCGTTTTTATCACACACTAAATAACGAAATACACACGAACTTTCACGAAAACCACATAGAAAACACATGGGCTTCCAGCACCAGTATTCGTTGGGGATGATCCCAAGGGAGTATAATCATGTGTTTGTTTACGATACTGGCGTGTCACCAGGCACCCGTATGGTCAGTCACACACATGGTTAATTGAGTTTTGGGTTGGGACGCCGTGACAGAGTACTCCGAGTAACTGTACCGGTAAGTTCAAAGTATATAGTTCTACTATGGACTGATAGTACTACTAGAATTAACGTGCACTGAATTCTCAGTGTAATTTAACACGAATCGACGCCAGCACCAACCACTACATTGACGACCACCACACTCGTCAATGTAGTGGCTGGTGGTTGTGCTGACATAGCGGTGGCGTCTGCCGTCGTTGAGTATTCCTTCCTCAACGACCGCAGACGCCACCGCCATATCAGCTCCAACCACCATGCAGCCCCGCACACGAATGAACCACGCAAGGGGGTCGACGCCAGCACCTACCACATCACTACGCATGTGCCATGCATGCCCAACCACTTCAGAATTATACGAATAATCCCGCATTTATAAGGCAACAGTGGAGAATCACATGCAAGGTAGTTTTAGAACTACAGTGATGACAAGATTACATGTAGTCACCGTGAAATGAACGAGTCTTCGTATTACTCTTACATCATTTAACTCATGTGTGTATAGCAAACACCTTAACAACGCAATTACCTATAGTGTACAGTATGCACCAACTCAAGGTTGGATCCTTACGACCACAGCGATCGACTTTAAATACAGTACATACAACACAAAGATCGCCTTGTGGCGCTATCGCCAAGTCACCTCTTGTTGGCGCCGTCGAGCTCATGTCGTCACGTCGCCACTGTGTAGCCTCTTGCCTCCGGCCCCCTCAGACGCAGCCGCCCCATCGAACTTGAGGAAATAATGAAATGAGATGTAAGGACTGGCGGGCTTTCCACATACACTCTGATTGGACAAAAACACACACACATGGACTGGCCAAATTCTACATTACTGCAAGTTCAAGTACAAAAAAGTACGATTGATTTCGGGATTTGAACCCGGGGCATTAGCAACACCGCCACATATCTCAACCACGACACTGTTGGAGCTG